TGAGGGTTATTTGGCTGTTAGTAATGTGGAGTAACAGTCTACGCAAGCCTTCGTGTATGCTTGTTGTGGTTCGTGTTTTATAATATTGCCGGAGCTACTCAGAAATGCTTTTGGTGTCCGTCTTTTAAGATGAGGAAACATCGAGGATTTCGCGCTCCCGGTCAGTTTCATCTTTTTAAAGATTTGTTGATCACAGTGGATGAATATCGCTACAGATGTTGATTACGGAAAAATGAAACACCTCATATATCTGATTTTGTACTTTACTGTACTTTGAGACATTCACGTATCATCATCCAGACTTGATTGTTGCCTTCAAAGTGTGACAAAATTTACCTCTTTGTTTTGGGGTTTTGTTTTTGATTTTTTTTTTTTTTTACTTGTTACTGTTTTTTTTTTAGCATTGTTGTCCTTGATTTTTTAAAAATAGTTATTACTGTTAAATACATGTTGGCAGGAAGTTAGTAGTTAGTAGCTAACTCATATTTTTTTCTCTTTAAATAAATATCACCCGTACATTCCTGTTCAAATGATGTGAGCGCTTTTGGAAAATACTAAAATTTGTATATCTACTTGCTTGGTCTTTTGCTTTGCTCTGTGCGTTGGCATGTAGATATAATATGGTAAATCAGCATGAAAGCTTGTGTTTGTGTGTGTGTTAATCTTTTTCTCGATGTTATACGTATTCTTCTTCACCATGTGGTCATAGCATATCGTTAATGGGTATTTCGACCAGTGCGCGTCGGGAGGTAGGCCTACCGGTTGCGGTGACTCGCCGTACATGTACTTCGGAAAGGATTGGTGCTTTCTGTTGCTTCATTTTTCTCTCTTCGGGTGTTAAATAAATGTAAGCCTTTGGTGCTCCAACTTTCTACTACTTCGTAGGGAGATTTGTCTTGACTTCACTAGTCCTTTAGGCCTGTTGGTCTAATTTGATGATCTCTCTGTTGTTTCTGCCTTTCCGTACTGCTCTTTCCTTAAATGGCCGCTGTCGAGTCCATGTGTTTCTCTTTACTCAAACTCTTCCATTGATCTTCTGCTGGTTGATGTAGGCCTTTGTGAGTGTCTGCGCACATACAATGTAGGCCTAGCTTGCTATCCAAGCAAGATCGATCCTCGTGGTTGGAGGAGGGCACCACTGCCAGGTCCTAGATATCTACTTCTTTTTACGCACTGTTGTTCATGTCTATCTTGCTTTTTATTTTTCTTTCCTCTCGATGATGGTTATTGTGTTCATGTGCTTCTCTTTATTTAAGCAGACAATCTTCCTCCTTCATCCTCAAATTCTCGTTATAAGGTCATTTGA